AAGAACTAAACTTTACAACCTTATATAATGTATCAATGTATCTTTATTAATGTTAATGTTAGCCAATATCCTTAGTTGTTGAGGCTTAAATAAATAATAAAATATATATATATATATATATATATTGTAATAACACTCAAGTAAATTCAGTTTTTTAATCTTATTCAAAAAAGTGCTTGTGGCATGTTATATTTTATTGAAACAAATTATATAGTAATTATTATCAAACAGGACATTTTTGAAAAAAATAATTCAAAATTATTTTTATCGTAATAATTTTTTAAGGTTTTAATTATTGAGTGACAATATATATTTTTTATTTCGAAATTTTTTTTCAGCTATATCACTTAATAATAAGCGGGTAAGTGGATATTGCTCTGCTGTACAATAAGTAGCAAGTAGGTTACTGTAATTATTGATGGTATTACATTTGAATTAATAAGTGCTATATTATCATTGCATACGAAAAACGATTCTAAGCGTAGACGGCTAGTCAGTCTAGGATATTTTATACCGTATTAATTTTATTGTAATAATTCTAAAAAAAAAAAATTTGGTAACTATGAAATGAATTTCAAATTAATCAAATCAGATTAATTATCATGTACCCGACTTACTCAGTCATTCATAGTACATGCAATTTACTATAAAATATTAATATAAGTCATTAATAATTAAAATTAGAATATAAAGTATACACTAGAAATTTCTAATACTCACGAATAATATTTTTAAATTACAATAATATGACTAAAATGTTTACTCTTGATTGTTTAATATAATGTAATTTCATCCAAATTTGAAATTAAAATATCAAATATTTCAATAAAAATATTTCAATCCTTAGCTTTAAAATTCAAACTTTTTTTWAATTTTTAACAACTAAATAATTAGTAAATTTTCACTTAAATACATTTTGTCAAAATTAAACATTAAAATGGTTATAAAACAAAAAATGTGCTTATGTATTTTTAATATTTTCCAACTGCTATTATATCAACTGGGGAACCTTGAATAAAAAATATTCAATTTTTTATTGACACAAATAATACAATTTTATTGACATTTATAGAATAAAAAACTAAAAAACAGAAAATTTCAAATTTCTATAAACAACTTAAAATTTTTTGAAAATTCTTGAAAATTTTCTCAAGTATAGGAATTGATAAAATAAACACATGGTGTATATCTCAATTTTCCACAGTTATTATTCGTTTTTAAATAACAGCATAATAAGAATAACGGTACCTACAAGAAAAATTGAGTGAATATCCAATGTTGTAATTAAAATTCTCATGAAAATTTAATTTGAGTTTCTTGTAGATATTTTTTATTTGATAAAATTATACAAACTTATGGAGAACCTTGAATTGAATTTTCAAACCTTGGATAACTTAAAAACATTTGAAATATTTTTTCGAGTACATAAAACGATAGTATATAAACATTCAGTGAAAATTGCATGTGTCTACAGTTTTAGAGTTACACCAATATCTAAAACTTGTTTCCTCGAAAATTGATTTTATGTGAAAATTCCCGTTTTTCTTTAATTTTTTTTTTTGGTTTTTACTGGTGCTTTTGAAAACTAATGGGAATCTCAGAATTTGATCTCTCCAATGCACCAACTAGATTCACATTCCAACCAGAAAAACTACCGAAGTTGAAAATCGAAGCATTATTTCGACAACTTATCGTGTACACAGACACAAAAAAAAAACACACACACGTCATTGTAAGATCAATAAATTCATCGAACCGTTTAGAAACTACAATCAAATATTAACAATCAGTTATAGTTACCTTAAACTAAAATACTACCTATTTAGTATTAATTATAGTTTCTAAATAGTAAGTATTTACTATTTGCTGTTAAAAGAATCGACTTATACTCATATGTATATGATTACCTTGATTAAGTTTAAAATATACGCTGATGCACAATTCCAAACTTGAAACTATTGAAATAAAGTCTTAGATATTCTTATTTATCTGTTATGTTAAGTGCATTTGTAATCAGACCAAAACAACATTTTTTTTTTTTAATTTTAATTAAATTTTACGTTTCATGTTATTTTTCATTTTTAAATAATAAGAGTACTTAATTTTGAATTCAATATTTATTTCCATTAGAATATTTTTACATACATTTCTATACCACCTCATCATTTCATCAATTTAAAGATAATATACATAGGCTCTATAATATACAAATTAACATTGCCCATATCGATTGAGTAACTTAGAAAAGTACACATTTTGGTAAAAATAAATACATTTTTATTTTCCAGATTACATGAATTCTAATATTATTATAATATGCATTCTAAATACATACAATATTGTGAAATGGAATTCTGAGCGCTTTTACAAAAACTAGCTGCAAAACGATATGTTCGCTATAACAAAACAAAAGATTTACACCCTCTTTCCCATTAACATCCCAACCAAAATGACATTCCGTTATTTGACACTTCCGCTGTATAATAGTTGACATTCCCCTATAATCTATCTATTTTCAACTAAAAGCTATAGAAATAAATTTTCATACAAATATTTTTCTCCTAAAATAAAACAACTCTACTATTGTTTACTCGTGAGTATTGGCTTGAATAGTTCTCATTCATTATATTTATTTTCATTAAATATCAAATTAGAAAATTGTATCAATTCAGTGTTGAGTTCATAGCATATATCTTGCCTATATCACACTAACACTGTTACTAAGTATACATTTTGTTTTACAAATAATTTACATGTTAATATATTTTTATTATTAGATACATAACAAGCAGTTATCGTTTGAGTATTATTATTGTTTTTAATATGGCTTAACCTAATTTTTCGGGATTTTTCAAGCAAAAGATTGCATTTAAATAATATCATATATGAATCTATGAATAACGATATGTATTAAAATAGTTGGAACTTACAGTAGATAAATATTTTTTTTAAACATTTACAATAAAACAATAATACAATATGTAATATATAGCTCCAATATATTTTGGTCGGTATAATTAATGATTGAATTAAAATTGGTTAAAAAGTAAATTATAACTATACTAGATATTAACAATGATCTACAATATACAAATAGGATTTTTTTTTAAGTGGCTTTTTTGGAATTTTTATTACATATTTAAAATATGTTTAACTTAGAATTCAAGATAAAATTAATTTTGAAATAAATACCATACATTTAATGAAAATTAAAAACTGTTTAACGTATTTTTAGTTGAATGCATATCTATTACTTGCTTAAGGACATATTTTGATATGGTTAACAAATTCAATTCATATATTTGAGACTAAACCTTAAAATAGGTACTTAGGTAAACGTAATTGACTTAATGTTGATTGTGTCAACATATAACATGGACAGATAGATTAATTTTTTAATATAGTATACTTGAATACATTTTCAAAGATATTACTGACTATAGTCGTTCAATGAGAAATCTTTTTTTAATAAACATTGAGATTTTACTTTATTATTAAACTAGTTTTTGATATAATTTAAATATAATGTTTATACATTAGTATTTCTTTGATAAACTTTTTGTCTAAATAATAATTTATTAAAAATTTTGAAGCCTTCAATTGTCATGTTTTTAAAGTATAAGTATAGGTAGTAGCTATGTGTTTTAACCGTATTTCGATACACTTAATTATTTAAATATAGTCTACATTGTAACACTAATTTATTTTTTCTAATTACATAATCTAATAAGCCAGATTTATTTAACTTTATATTTTCAACGTATATTTGGCACTTAATTAAATTTACTCAAGATTCAAGTTTATCATAAAATAGCTAGTGAAAATATTAAATACACAGGTGGTTAGGTAATATGATATTATATACAAACAATACAATATATTGTATAATTTTTTTTATCAGATATTTAATACGTATAGTAAATTTTAATGTAATAATATCTCATATTCAATACTATTTAAATTACATATTATGACATATTCCAAAAAATAGAACCATTTAAAATCATCAATAGACAAAACGTATAAGTAAAAACCATTTGCAAAGAATAAAATCTATTTGTACATTATAAATATAAGCAAAAAAAAAAAATATATATATGTTTTTAATGCCTCCTAAACAGCATTTATTAATCTATTCATTTAAAATGTTCATATACTTTAAAAATTAAACATCAAATAGGGGTAACAACTTAAAAGTATGACATTTATTCGTGAGTAAGGTCAAGATAATGAGATCGTCAAACTCGCAGAAGTGACCCTTTTAGAATATATTTTTAATTTAAAGCATTATAAACGTATAAATATAAAATAAACTTATACAGGCTAATATATTAAGAAGACAGTTTTTTTTTTTTTTTTGAGACATTCAATAACTGAATAAAGTTAAACAAATACCAATCATTTTTGTAAAATAAAAAATCTGTAAAAAAATTTAAAAAATGTGCTAATTATAACTAAGATACCAAGAACTATAATAATATTTGACGGAGATTTTTTCGGTTTATTTAGTTATAATCTTATTCAATTATAATTAATGTTTTTTCATACATATATACATACATTATGACTCGTCATTAAAATATGTCGATATTCAAGAATTATTGTTAAAATATACTTTTAATACAATTTAAATATCTTTGAAAATATTCATAAACAATTTATTATCTTCGTTTAATGTAAGTAAGCCGATTACCTATTTATAAAAATATATAAGTATTATAAACTCACCCCTCGATTAATMTACATGTAAGACTGTAAAAGATATATTGTGAAAACGCACGTATTTTAATCACGCACTGGTCATTTAACTTTACTGTCGATACTTTTTAAATAAAAAATCTTTTTTTTAAGTATGCTATTTAAACCTACATATATATTTTTTATGCGTAATTCAAATCCAATAAAATATTTCATTAAATGATTTAATAAAACTCGTATACAATATACATACATATATTTACAAACCTATACTAATATATTTAAAATCTAAAGCCACTTACAGGTTGTCCACGTGCACCATTCGTGAACCTCAACTGCGATGACTAACATCAGACTCGAAGAACCATGGCGCGTTTTGGTTGTATGGCGTGTAATATATTTTTAGCGCACATGACGATGGATTATGATATTAGCGTAGGAAAAGAGTGTCAAACTGTGTAATAAAAATACGACTGAGATTGTTGTTGTTGTTGTTGTTGTTGTTGTTGTTGTTAACGCGACCACTTCACTGGATGCAGAAGGACAGTGTCCTGGCCGGARTAAATGTCTGTATGTCGTGTCTGAGGGGAGGGGGGCAAAAGAAACGGATCTGAAGGTCAAGAAAATACGGGAAATTCCGTAAGAAAAACTTAATTAAAAAAAATAAATTATTTTCTCGCCGATAAAAAGCCGTGACGGTTGCGTGATTATTGGCGCGAGTCCACTGCTGTCGTGTATCTGGTGTAGTCGGTTGCGGTCGGCGAAGCGCGCGTTTTACCACTGAAAAACCATATAACTCGCGTACCGTGTTGGTGCGTCCAAAAAACACGTCTGGCCGCCGCACCTGCGTAAACGCCCTGCACGCGCCGTGGCGGCGGCTGGTGGCGCAACGCGGCGGTTTCAAGTGTCATTTGTTCGTTCGTATCGCGTCCCAATTTTTAACGTAACTTACCCGTGATACCGGAAGAGAACTAGACTACTAGAGAGAAAAAATTACGAGTCGTCGTCGTCGTCGTCACCATCATCGTCATCTCTTAAACCTGGTTTGGCTCGATAACGATGCGTGACTTACAATAATATCCTGAGCGTAATCCACCGAGCATGCTCTGCAGACACGCTGTTTCTTCGATACTCGTTTTATTGAATTTATGATTTTTTTTAATTGTCGAGTATAATTATAAACCGATTGTTCAAAATACTTCGATTTTTAATCAAATGAGGATTTATTATTATTTTTTTTTTTTAACATTTTGACACATCTACGTAACTGGCAATTGAAACGAGTGTTTACTATATTTTCCCGAGTTTTAAACATTTATTACCTAAAATTATGGTCCTTGATAATTGGATTAAAAATATGGAGGCTATGATTATTTTAAAATAATAGTAATTAATTAAATATCAATAAATTAGAATTTTATAGTTTGCAAAATTAGAGTACCTATAATAAGTATTTAGCTGAATAGATACATATTTCACATAATATTTTATGTTTATGTAAATCCGTTGTCAAGAATAATGATCTTTATCATCTACATCATTAAAATAATTCTGAAAAAACTCTTTTAAATTTGAATTTATATACAATATACATCAAGATTTTTGAAAAATTACGCACTTATCAATTTACAATAGAATAAAATTATAGGTTTCTATTTTTACTGTGGAAAAATTAGTTTGTGTTGCCACGAGATACTCCATGAACGGTATAAATAATCTAAGCAAGTTTTTGAAATTATGGTACTCAATATTCTCGACAATTTTAATTATTAGAATTGTTATAAATACATTGTGCATGCTTGGTAAATCATAATCCTGTATACACAAATATTATGTTACCACCCATGAAAATTGGTTGTTGTCTTTAACATAATATTATTCTAGACAATAATAACAACGATCGAGTTTAATCGGAATATTATGAAATTATATGTACGAAGTAACTATATCACACAGTAATTACATGCGTACAACTGAACAGTGATTCACGTTGAAAACAGAGGTATTTGTCAAATAATTGGAATATTCTACTATACTTAGTTAGTTTAAATCATAATTACAAATCAAGGGAAAACAAATAGATATGGTTTGAACTGTTTGAAGGTTTCACTCTGTAAAGTTAACTAAATAACAACAACAAATCATGTTTTAGTAATTTGGTCCAACTGCAAGATTATTTCAAAAATAAATACATACCTACCAATATAGAAATATTATAATATACTTTTTATTATTTAATATTTTTACTGTTTTGCCTGAACCGAGTTATTAATATAGATGATGGTGACCATTACTACGAGTCTTACAGTATTTATATTTAAAATTATGTTCTTCAGTATTTAGAGCTATTTTATATAATTTACTTTATTAACCACAAATATAAAAACTATACATGCTTGAAAATATGAAAACTTTGTGTTATTACAATCGATGACTCTGAAATATTGAAAGGTTATTATATACGTATATACGTATACCTGTGTGTGTGTGCACACGCGCGTGTGTTTCAGTTAGAAATATTAGGAATATAGTATGATGACGATAGTTAAGATATGCGACCCATTGTCGATATACGTTTATGAGTCTGTTATATTATATTACTATTATTATTATTAATCACTGTATTAAATTCTGTTTATTAATTTAACTTAAAACTTGTCTTGATTACTTTACTAATCTATTCCATTCAACAGTAACATTGTCATTGAATTTAAAAAAAAAAAAAACTATTGTACAAATTTCCAAAGTTAATTGATAACAAAATATTATTTTAAAGTTAATCTGTTGGTCTCTGATATATGTGCTTTATTGCCTTTATACGTATTTATAATTTTTTTTAAATAACTATAATTAATCAAATAAAAAAATAAAAAAATGTGGTTATAAACATGCTACGATAGTACGATGTGAATAAACTTAWTTTTTTTTAATATTAATTAAAATTGTCGATAGTAATTTGCACGATGTCTACTTTCTATTGCCTTCAAACTACACATGGTTGGTCAACCAAATTCTGTATTTGGAAAAAAATGTGATCTTACGCCGTTATCATCTAATCGTGATTATAATAATGTTTTATTTCTCTACATATCACTAAACGGTAAAGTAGTATGGTGTATCCCAAATTGCTAAACCAAATTCATTTATTGATGTTCCGCCGATAAAACTCATACAAAAGATTAACTCCACATTGAAAACGTCATTTTTTCCTTAATAGTCTTATATCAATATAAATAGTTATTGTAATTACTATTTAAACAATTTCAATTTTTGATTGAACCTTATAAATTCTTTAAGTCATATTGTACTAAGCTTGCAGTAAGCTGATTGTATATATTAGTACTTATTATGTCCCGCATTCTTTGCCTACCGATCATCAATAATAACAATAAATAATAAATCATAATAGTGATAGTAATAATCAATAAATATTTTTAGTCATTGTTATCATTGCCTAAAATACCATCACTAACGAGTTACGGTAACACCAGCGAGTGAGTGGTGAGTGTATAATATAATATGTAAGGTATTATAAAATGCTGTTTCACATAACCATGACTATATTATGACGTTTAAACATATCACGTATTTTATTTTAGTGGAAGGGGTAGGTTAGAAAGACGTTTTAAATCCGTCATGTCATGTTTTATAGATGTTCGTGGGTCTGGTCGGAATGTATTGCTGTTTACGACGATAACGGATTTTTTTTTTCTAGTCGGTTACGCGCGTAATAACGTTTTCACGGAAGCAAAAAAGATTGGAAATCGTGCTTCTGTGATACACAGTAACCGAAAACGACGTTTTTCGATGTTTGAAATAAGTTCCTTCCATATTTACGTGGTCCATGCACGTGAGAAAAGAGTAAAGAGGTCCAAATTAATCCTAAGATTGGCTCAAACTTGTTCACTGATCATTCAGTACCACCGATCATGCGCCAATTTCTTAGGGAAGTGCAACGCTGTTCAATTATTCTGATTGAAACATGATTAAATATATCACTTAAAGTTGACTGTTTAATATGTTTTTATAAGATTCAAATAAAATCATTAATCAAAATTTTTTTTTTATTATTAAAATATCGTTGAAATATATATTACAAAATATAATTACGACGATGTTATCTGTTTAATATAGCTGCTTTATTCTAATTTTTCAAAAGTTAATGTAATGATATACTCAAAGACTTGAAACGTCTCAACACAAAATAACTCATATTTCATTCATGGTAAAACATTTTGATTCGTTAAGTATGAACTCCAACAACATTGAATCTTAAAACCTAGAGCAAGTTTTGCTTAGAATCACCGATTATAAGCAGTGGATCATAATTGTTTTCAAAAGTAGAATGGTATTATACCTGCAATACTCTGCACCGAGCAAAACAAATTTAGAGCTTGGATGGACCTAATCAATACGCCTATATAGTCATATATAATATATATGTAAATAATTAATCATATCATTCTATTTAAACTGACTTCGCGTACCAGAAAGTTATGACTTAAAATTATGTAATACTGACTTTGAAATCAGGCAGAATGCTAAGCAAACGATGCCAAAATCATCATGAGTAGATGAATTTATTTGACAGTAAAATGTTTGATGATCATTATCATTATTTGATAAGAGTTTTGTTGACCCAAAACGACGGAATTATAGCGATAATCACAAACTACATAGGTACTTAAATTACCTACCCTACATGTATAGTCGAGGTATAATAGCTATCAAATCGGGTAAAATTAAACAATTATTTTTTTCTACCTACGCTCCTAAAACCATAATTACGAGCTTGCAAAACATAAGCTYGGTAGCTGACCCAATTTATGCCGCTTATATCCAAACACAATTCATTCCTGCAAAGAAAGTCACATGGATATTAAGTATAAACTCGCATTGTTTACACTTCACAACAGCTGTGGTCGAATGCGGATACTTAAACTACCTACATAAATACCTAGTACAGTTTATTTAAATGTTTTAAAACATATTCATTATTATCATTTGTCTACTAATGATATCAATTCTTAATAAAAGTGAATTAAATAGTTATAAAAATATCAACCATGTACCAAATTCGGCAAAAATAATATTTGTTTTTAATATTCATAAATTATATAAATATTTGATATTTACATTATATTTAAATCAATAACTTATAGAACTGATATACATCATCGTATAATGTTATGTTTATAAAATAAAATTGTCTCTTTATTTAAAGGTCTAACGGACGAGATAATAAAGTTTTCAATATTTTATAATTATTTTATTTTATACCATTTATTTGTATATACCTTATTTATTCCATATTACACTACATAATAAGAAATAGAATTAAAGTAACTTGTGTTTGGATACACCTCTCAACCCAATAACAATATAAAACAGTATTTTGTAACTTTTTTTTCATAATAACTGCAATAAGTATATCCTATAATGCATATTTATTTTTGAAATAAACATAACACTATACATCTATACCAATATGAATGGCTTAATATTTTATAGTTGATGCCTCTTGTTCAACACGCATAAGTAGTACTATACCAAACGGGAAACAATCCAATATATTGTTAAATTTTACAATTATATAATATCGTACCTGATGAGTGAAAATTGGTTAAATAACATATTATTTCAATTGCATGTTGAGGTAGCACTTTACGCTGATGACAKTGCTATGTATTCGAACTCTAAAGATGCTGAAACAATAACCCAAAACAATAACATTCAAGCTCACCTGAACGAAATTCAAAAATAGG